ACATATCAACAATAATGCAACGGATCCATAGTTAAAAAAAAAAAAAAAAACTAACTATTGCATAGAGTTTTCACCTTTTCAAAACTTGAAAGGTCATTTGATTAGTTATTAGTATATACCAAAATTACCAAATGATTTTTTTTGTCATAGTACCAATGTTACAAAGAAACGACTGTTGTTTTGATTCATTCCAGCATCTAGCGAAGAAGCAAGAAGCCTACCATTGCCACAACAACAACAGGAAGCAATGGCAAAGCCGAATAATGGTCTAAGAAGATTGAGTTCAGTGGACATGAAGCCACCACAAGGAAAAGGGAGAAACGAGATGCCAAGTGTGTTCACCAAAGGACCTAACGGGAAGAGAGTTGATGGGATTCTTTATCGATACGGTAATGGAGAAGAAGTGAAGATCATGTGTATCTGCCATGGTGAATTCATGTCTCCTGCTGATTTCGTTAAACATGCTGGTGGTCCTCATGTTGAGCATCCTCTTAGGCACATTGTTGTCAACACCTCTTCTCCTTCTAATCTCTTTTAGAACAACCTCCCCTCTCCTCTCCTCATTTATTTTTAAGACCAGAGTTTAGACAAGAAAATGCTTTAAGAGTTTTAAACCAGTACACACCACATGCTTTGTCTGAATCTGGTAATTTCTCAATATTTTTTCTTACTACTTTATACAGAGAGGTAGAAATAAATGATCAGTTTTCAATTTTAAGAGAATAACATTAAAGATGCAAATGATGATGAAAACCCTACTAATCTCAAAATAGGAAACAGACTTGAACAAAAAAAAAAAGCTAAAAAGGTTCTAATGGCTACGCACTTGTTTTACTTGCTTGCTTGCTGTACAAATCCTCTAAAAACAACACATCTTCTTTAGATCACAATCTAGAAGGCTGGATTCGCTTCAGCTGTTTCACAGCTTGTTTCATCGTCGGCCTTATCGAGAGGCTATCAACAGTGCATTTGAGTGCTAAATGCAGAACCTCAACCAAATCATCCTGAGGACCAGTCTCCCATAGTCCCTTAGTGAAAACATCTTTAGCCTTACCTTGTCTCAACATCATATGCGCCCACGAGACAATGTTAAACCCATTCTCGTGAGATGAGAAAGAAGGATCCAAAGCCCTCTTATCAGATATCAGCTCCAAGATGACAATACCATAACTGTAAACATCTGCCTTCTCCGAGACACGACAAGTCATCGCGTATTCCGGAGCAACATACCCGAATGTTCCAGCCACACCTGTTGTGACATGAGACTGAGAAGTCCCCAAGAGTTTAGACAAACCAAAGTCAGATAGATAAGCGTTGTAGTTGTTGTCTAACAATATGTTGCTTGGTTTGATGTCTCTGTGGAGGACTTTAGGTGAGCACTGCTCGTGAAGATAGGCGAGCGCACGCGCTACATCGAGAGCAATCTTGTGAAGGATCTTCCACTCGAGAGCAGGCTTTGATCTCTCTTTGATGAAATCTTCAAGGTTCCCTCCTGATAAGTAGTTGTAGATAAGGAACATCTCTGTCTCGCTAGCGTGGTAACCAATCAACATAACGAGATTCGGATGCCTAACCGTTTCAAGAGCAGAGATCTCAGCGTGGAACTGTTGGTCACCTTGGAACCTACCAACAGAGAGTCTTTTAACAGCGAAGACGTGCTCTGGAGAGACCTCAGCTTTGTAAGTAGAGCCGAAACCACCGTGACCGATACAGTTAGAGTTGCTGAAGTAGCCAGTGGCTCTAACGATGGTCTCGTAAGTCAGAGGGGTACCAATGTTTTCCACAAACACTTTGATCTCTTTTGGTTCAACGACTTGAACTTGAGAGTTACGTTTCCATTTCTTCGTGTAGAAGAACAAGAGGACGAGTACGAGGAGGACAAAGACAATGACTGAAGCTGACACGATGGAAGCGATCTCAATGGGATACAAACTGTTCTTATCATCCTCAGGACTTGCTTCCTCTTCTCCTTCTTCTCCTCCTTCGCTGTTAACACTCATGAGTTTCCTAAGTTTGATTCCAGCATTGCTATTAAAAACCCTAATTCCAGTAAATCTGTTTCCTTGTAGGTCAAGCAGCTCTAATCTCTTCAACCCCCAAATCTCCTTTGGTATATAACCTCCCAAATCGTTAAAAGCTAGAGATAAAACCCTAATTTCAGAGAGTTTTCCCACAACGGGAGAGATCTCACCACCGAGTTTAGTACTCAAGCAAGAAGATGAGTCTGGCAAAGGAAGAGTACTAATACTACTACTACCTTCATCGCTGCAGGCTTTGAGGATTAAAGAGACGACTCTTGAATCGGAGTTGCAAGAGACACCAAACCAAGAACAGTGGTTGGAGCTGTCCGGATCCCAGGTAGAGAGGACACCGTGTGGATCGGAGAAGCTTCTCTTCAACTCGAGAAGAACAGTTCGGTCGTGGGAAGCATTTTCAGACAAAAGTTTCCGAGAGAAGGAAAGGGAAAACAAGTTTAGCAGTAAGAACAAAGCAAGAAACATTCTTTTCATTTTTGAAAGAGAGAAAGAGAGAGATGATGAAAGATAATCAAAAACCCTAATTTTTCAATTTCCCTCTGAGATCTGAAGTTTTGATCTTCGCTTTCTTTCTCTCGGATTTCAAGTCGCGAAAGAAGAAAGTTTCTTTACCCAAAAAGAAAACGACATTAAATTTTTTCTTGGCTCAATAACCAACACACAAACAAAAATAAAAAGTTCTTAACGTATTTGAAACAGTCAAACGAGTATGAATTTCGAGGAAAATCAGAAAAAAAAAAGATAAGAGAAAAATCTAAAAAAAATATTTTTAAAATTTTCAAAAACACACTACTTACTTAAAGATCTTTGTCTTTATTCACCAGTGATGTTTAAATATATATTTTTTATTTTTGAAAAAGAAACGTTGTGTAATAAATTAAAAAATGTAAAACTTTTATTACAAATTTTGGGGGATAGATAGATAGTGTTTCACTTTCAGCCGCGTCTCTCTCGGTTCTGTCGTTAAATTTTTTTGTCGTTGTCCTTACAGACTTTAAGAGAGATAGGAGTAGGTCCCACGCCAAGTCAATGACCGATGTCTTTCACAGAGAGCGGTCTCCACATGGCTGCTTCTTGTTTGACCAGCCGGGCTAAGTACGGGACCTACTTTTTTAAATCGTTTCATTATTAGATTCCTAAATCGTTTTTTCCCCTGTTTTTTTTCTCCGTATTGTAACGATCATGCGACGTGTATTCCTTTGTGTATCTGCGTCATAGTGACGTTTTACATTACGTCAGAAATAAGGCCCGTTTATGTTCTTATCTGCTCTTCTAGGCCCTGTATATTCGTTTTGTTAAACTACATATTATCGGATTTTAAACTTCAAAGTTCGCGTAAACATGGCATATGTTATTTTTGTTTTGAGAATTCGGCCAAAAAAGCACCAACTTTGCACGAATGGCCAAAAGAAACATGTACTCGAGTCTGGCCAAAAGAAACCTGAACTTTTGTTGACTTTATTAGTTTATTAGTTTGTTAAGTCGGACGTTAATTGTTGCCGTTAGGATGAAACGACGTCGTTTTAAGCTATTTGAAAATAAAAAACGTCGTTTTAAGCTATTTGAAAATAAAAAACGTAGACCACTGGAATCGAACCCGGGTTGATTGGATTAAGTGGCAAGGTCGTTTACCACTAGGCTAATGGCACATTCAAAGTATCTACTAACACATTTAGTTATATTTGGTACTGACTGAATATTAAAAAAATTCTATAAAAACTTTAAAAATCTTTAAAATTTCAAAACAAATGAAAAATAAAGAATTTTTTTATAAAATTAATTTTGAAATTAAAATTAAAATAAAATTTTATTTTTCTTTAAAAAATCAGACGGGAACTTATAAAATTTTATTTTTNAAAACTTTAAAAATCTTTAAAATTTCAAAACAAATGAAAAATAAAGAATTTTTTTATAAAATTAATTTTGAAATTAAAATTAAAATAAAATTTTATTTTTCTTTAAAAAATCAGACGGGAACTTATAAAATTTTATTTTTCTTTTAATGTATCTATTAACACATTTACTTATATTTGGTACTAATTGAATATAAAAAAATCTATAAAAACATTAAAAAATCTTTAAAATTTCAAAAAAAAATGAAAAAATAAAGATGTTTTTTATAAAATTAATTTTAAAATTAAAATAATTTTTTTTTCTTTAAACTAAAATTTTGGAAGATTTTTGATTTTTTAAAGAAAAGAAAAATTATTTTAATTTTAATTTTAAAATTAATTTTATAAAAAAACTCTTTATTTTTTCATTTTTTGAAATTTTAAAGATTTTTTAAAGTTTTATAGAATTTTTTTATATTCAATCAGTACCAAATATAAGTAAATGTGTTAGTAGATATATTGAAAGAAAAATAAAATTTTAAGAGTTCCCGTCTGATTTTTTTAAAGAAAAAAAAAATCATTTTAATTTTAATTTCAAAATTAATTTTATAAAAAAAACTCTTTATTTTTTTCATTTTTTGAAATTTTAAAGATTTTTTAAAGTTTTTATAGAATTTTTTTTATATTCAATAAGTACCAAATATAAGTGAATGTGTTAGTAGGTACATTGAATGCGCCACTAGCCCAGTGGTAAACTACCTTGCAATTTAATCCGATTAACCCGGGTTCGAGTCCAGTGGTCTATGGCTTTTTATTTTAAATCGCTTAAAACGACGTCGTTTCATCTCAATTGAAAACGACGTCGTTTCATCCTAACGACAATAATTAACAACGTTAATTTTTTCTGTTAAATTTGTTGACGGCGTGCCAAATTGGCAAGTCAACAAAAACTTTGTTAATTAATTCGAAAGTCAATGAAAAGTTTATGTTTTTTTTGGTCATGCCAAAAGTTCAAGTTTCTTTTGGCAATTCGTGTAAAGTTCGTGTTTTTTTTGGCCGAATTCTCTTTTTGTTTTGTATGCAGTTATTAAATGACTGAATTTGAGTTTTAAATTATTTTAAAATGACATCAAGTACAAAAATCACATAACATTGAATTAACAATTGGTTAAAAAAAAAAAACATTGAATTAACAATTAATATAACCACTCAAAAGCATCTTTTTCGTACAGTTTCTACTATCTTAACACCGGTTAAAACTTTCAGGCCTTTACGTCACCACCAGCTGCTCTGGTCGTCGGTTTCTTTTATGGTTTCTCTTTTATTTCCATAAGCAATTAAATGTCTTGTTTCGTATTGTTGTTAACGTTTGGATTCTTCAAACGATGTTCTTCTCCATCTTCTCGTCGATATTGCTCTCGTCACCTTCACGGTCTTGGTCCTTTAAGAAGGTTGCTGTCATGAGTTTGATTCTCTTTTGTCCAATTTTGGATTCGTGGAGGGATAAATACAGAACGATATCATCGATTTGAAGGTTTTAGTTTCTCCAGTCCGGAGTGTGTTTTTCCCGCAAATCTCATTGGATTTGTTTATTTTTTTCCGGCGAATCTACATGATGTTGTCAGCGTATTCCCCGAGCACTTGGTGCACAATGCTTTTCTTCCTCAGATCATCACCGGAGAGTCGCAATCATTCCTTAAGCAGCCTTGGCCAGGAGACTATGACATCAGCGTAAACGACGGTCTTTATACAGATTCGGTAGACATTTTCTTGGTTTCGAGCGGAGAACTTCAGGTTTTAATTGGCATCGATTCAGTTTTATCTAGAGATTCCAAGATTTTGTCTCATGGATATAAAGTTGTTGACCCAAAGCAAGTGTTAATAGTTTATAAAATCTACCGAGGATCTCGATTCGAGCACACACATAATAAACATCAAGTAGCGCCATGGTCAGAGGATTTCAAGAGATTGATGCACTTCCTACATTCTGGTTTGAAAGTACTTCTTGAATTATACTGGGGGTTAACATGCGGGACCATAAGATGTCAAGTATTATTCTCTTTGGTAATACGACCTGCATTATTTCATAATCATGTGGGTTTTATTGATCTGGTCAAAGAGAATAATGTGGCATTGTTGGCTAAGCAAGCTTGGAAGATCAACCAGAATCCCTCTTCTTTGCTAGAAAGAATATATAAAGGAAGATACTACAACTCGTCGACATTCTTACAGTCGTTAAGTTTAACTAGTTCTTCGTATGGATGGAAGTCCATTAAAACAGGAAAATATCTTTTAAAGAAAGGTCTCCTAATGCAAGTGGGAAATGGGAGGGATATAAGAGTTTGGGAAGATAATGTTTTTTCTAAATAAAATTTAGATGTCTTTCATGATTATCTTTGCTTCTCAAAGTTTCCTACTTGGTTATTTGAATATTTGTATTGGCCTTATACTGTTTAATATTAATGAAATGTTGTTCTAAAAAAAACATTGAATAACACTAAATTTTAGTAGAATGTGTAAACACAAGTTGAGTGCAATGCTAAACAAAAAAAAATCATCTACTTAGTGAGCAATATACATTATAACCTCTTTAAATTAATACTCTATAAACTAATATACATTAAAAATTGCTATAAAATAATATAATTTTATAGTATTAACTTGAATTTTTGGGTCAATTATTATATCGAGAAATTAATAATCTCTATAAATTAATAAAAAATTATAGTTTTGGTATAGTCCCAACATTATTAATTTATAGAGTTTTCATTGTATGAAGTGAATACTTATAAATTGATGGTTTATGATTGCAATATAATATATGTGCATATAAAAATATAAGGAAATGTGGCATTGATCTTATTTTGATAATATATAATGCATTGTTAATCTCGTGTATATATAAAACCGTTGATTCTCTAAAACAGTATTACTTCAACTTTGATACCTCATGAATTCCGAAGATTTGTTGGTATATCTTCTCAAACAGAAGATCAAACTAGTTGAAAGTAAATGTCTTCAAAGATATGTAATAAATGCATTACGAATTAATGTGAGCTTAGTTAAATTGGGGATCAAAACTGATCAAATCTTATGAAAGCAGCCCATATTTATGGATAGGTCCGCTATATGGAGACACAAGGAAATTTTTTGATGATTGGAAAAACATGTGATCTAGTAATTTCTAGCCGTTACGCTCCACTTTTATCCATAGAGAGTTCTAAAATGTTTGACACATGTCATAAAAATAATCTATCGTAATTGAGGTTAGTGCAATGAGTAAATCACTAAAAAATATTAGTAAAGGTTTTTTTGTTTACTCAAAGTTTAAAAGAAATTCATTAAAATCAGATCATTATAATTCATTGACATATTTATTATGACTGGAAATCTAAATCTATAATTAATGATAAACAAAAAATAGAAAAGTGTCAATATTTCAATTGTTTTTCATTAACAATTGTCTATTTCCTGAGCAGCAATGTTAATACCAGGTAAAAGTGATATTACGACGTTTCTACAATCCATCACACAAATTATAAAACAATAAAAAGAAATACCAAATACAGGAGTAACTAAAATGAAGAAGTCAAAAAGATGGAAAAGGTAAGAAGAAGTGTTTGAATTGCACAACCGGGTTTG